TCGTGCGGGTGGCAGCCACTCGATGTGTCCCTTTCACGTCGATGTTTCTCTCTCTCTCTCTCTCCCCCATTCTATCTGAACAAAAAATGGAAAAATGTCCTCAGGTGAGGATAATAAACAAATAAATAAATAAATAAATAATAACTAAATGGCAGGTGCGGCATTTTACACACACACACTATCATGTTTGTGTGTTTTCATGTATTCTGCTTCTTCATTATATTGTCACTAGACTGTATGAACTGTAACACAGTAGCATGTTGGCATCTCCTGCTGGATGGGCTGTTTGCTGATTTGGCTAGGGTGTTGCTCATCAGACCAAATTCCCAGCTCTGGGCCTTCACAGCCACTGCATACTTCCTGGATGCACATACAGTGACATCATCTTTTGACTAGATTATTGCTTAATTTCCTAAATTCTCTCCTGGCTTCTTCTCCTGCCCCTCTTCACCTTCAGCCTGTTTTCTACACCAGCAGCCAGGTTGCTCGTGTTAAAATATCATGATTTATCATGCCTCCTTTTTTTTCTCAAAACCCTCTCAGAGCCTGGTTTTCTGCAGAATCCTCCTGTTCCCATTCTTAAAATGGCCTAAAACACCCCACCCAACATGGCCTCTCTCTCTCTCTACACCATCCTCAGCCGCCCTCCCCTCACTCACCCTCTCCTGGCAAGATGAAGGCATAGGGGAAGGCCAGTGGGAGCAGGTAGGACAGAACTGAGCCTTTTGATTGTCTGATATTTCAAACTCCTGGTGGAGCCCATGCCCTGTACCGGAACATGAATAACCATATGAGCTTTGCATGCCCCAAGTGCACACGTGTGAGTGCATGTCTGCTGGCATGTGTGAAGTTTGCAGCTTAATGGGCTGCTTTTGTCTGGACTATGCCCAGGAGGGGATGTGACGTCCTTGGGGACTAGTCCTTTGAAGCTGATTTGTTGTGGCAGCCTGTTCAGCAAGATGTTAAAAACCATGGCTTCTGCTGTTCCTAAGTGGGTCGTGCAGCAAAGGAAGACCATAGAGGTGAGGAAAGGAGTCATGTCCCTCGTTTGATCTGTTTCCCTTCCTAATATCAACTGTGTGGGTTTTTTTAAAAAACAGTTAATGGCTAACAGGAGCAGGAGGTCACAGAGCAGATCCAGCCTCCCAATTCTTTTTTAAAATATGTTTTTATTAATTTTAGAGAGAGATGAAGGAGAGGGAGAGAGAGGGAGAAAAACATCAACGAAAGAGAGAAACATCAATCAGCTGCGTCCTGCATGCCCCCTACCGGGGATCGAGCCTGAGACCCAGGCATGTGCCCTGACAGGGAATCGAACCAGGGACCTCGCAGTGCATGGAAAGACACTCAACCAACTGAGCCACACTGGCCAGGACCTAATTGAATTTTGAAAAGCAAACAGCAGAGTCTCTGAGATTTCATCATTATTTATATCTAACTCCACAGGGTGCTGGGTGGCCCTGGCTCCCTGACATGTGTTGGTGATGTTGGAAGAAATGGGTCACTGCATGAATGTGTCTGCTTGTCACATCACTGTCTAGATTTCTGGTCTCATGGTGTTCCTTACCAATTTAGTGACATAGGGCTTTTTATATTTAGTAAACTAGTTTCCTTTGATGTTTCTAAAACAATGTAAATTGCCCTTTGGTTGAAGTTCATTAATTTCTGGTTTGATTGCATTGGTATCAGAGATTGCTGTCTATACTGTTTCTGTTGTATGTAATTTATTGAGGGAATAATCCTTGTCTGCTAGCATTCTGAGAGCCTCTTGGGAGAAGGGGGCAAGAGTTCTCATTATTTGTCTATTTATTCCATGTAACAACCCAGTTTTAATCTCAGCATTTCCCTATCTTCAGAACTGCTAGTTGTCATACCCTGAAGTGAATCACCCTCTTCCAGCGGTGAACCTCCAGCTGTCCATGGGAAGAGAAGAATTCTCACCTAATGATTAGGATTTTGGGGGCCTGAAGTTTTCTTTCAGAAAATGTAAATTATTTTTATTCCCTGACCTCCCCATCTTACTTTGTGAGCCACACATCAGCCTTCTAGAATCTGTGATGTAAACCAGGGTTTCTTTGTGGCTTCTCCCTGATAGGCTTAGCTATATTAGTCACCACTTATTCATCCACTGTCTAGGTTCCAGGATTGTGTTGCCAGTGCTTGTTGGTTGTTCTCGATTCTCCTGACATAGTGCTTGTGAGTTTGTGCCTTTTTACTTTGTGTCATTTTAGTGCAGTTTTTGTAAGGTGAAGATAAACACATGTTAATTGGCTGTATTTGATGGGAGGTTTCTTCCATTGCTTTAAACTTTTTTTTTGAGTATTTATTACCTTTGGGTTTTTTAGTCGAATATTATCCACATACTATAAAATTCACACTTTTAAAGTTTACATTTTAGTAGTTTCTAGATATTTACAAAGTTGGGCCCCCATCACCACTATCTAATTGTAAAACATGTTCATCACCTAGAAAGAAACCTCATACTCATTATTAATAACTCTCATTCCCCTCTTACTTCAGCCCTGGGAAATGCTAATCCACTTTTTGTCTCTGGATTGCCTGCTCTGCACATTTCATGTAAATGGGATGAGACAGTTTCTATATCTGGCTTCTTTCCCTAAGCATAATGTTTTCAGAGTTCATCCATGTTGATCTATTAGTCCTTCATTTCATTTTTGTGTGGCCAAATAGTACTTTATTGTATGGATATGTCACATTTTGTTTATCCATTCATCAGTTGGTGGATATTTGGGTTTTTCCACTTTTTTGCTATTATGAACAATGCTGCTGTAAACATTCATGTACAAGTTTTTATGTGAATATATCTTCAGTTCTCATGATTATATTCTTAAGAGTAGAACTGTTAGGTCATACAGTAACTCTCTGTTTATTTTTGTGGTACTGCCAGACTGATTTCCAAAGTGGCTATACCATTATATTTGTACCAGCAATTTATGAGGATTCCAGTGACTCCACATCCTTGCTGACACTTGTTATTTTCTGCTTTTTTACTTCTTCTTCCTCCTCCTCTTCTTCCTACTACTTCTGTTATTGCCATCCTACGTGGGTATGAAGTGGTATCTTATTGTGGTTTTCATTTGCATTTTTCTTCTAATGACTAATAATGTGCTTATTGGCCATTTGTATATCTTCCTTAGAGGAACATGTATCCAAATCTTTTGAACATTTTTTGTTGTTTTTGTTTTTTTCAATTTGTTGAATTGTGAACGTTCTCTATATAGTCTGGATATTAATCCCTTCTCAGATATGATTTGCAAATGTCTTCTCCTATTTTGTAGGTTATATTTTCACTTTTTTATTAGTGCCCTTTGATATATAAAAGTTTTTAATTTTGAGGAAATCTGGTTCACCTGATTTTTTTGTTTGTTGCCTGTGCTTTTTTGTATCATCATATCCATGAAGTCATTGCCAAATCGAATGTCATAAATATTTATTTCAGTGTTTCCTTCTAAAAGTTTTTTAGTTGGAACTCATAAGTGTAGGTCTTTGATCCATTTTGAGTTAATTTTTGTATATGGTATAAGTTTATTCTTTTGCATGTGGATACCTAGTTTTCCTAGCACCATATGTTGCAAAGACTCTTCTTTTCCCATTGAATTGTCTTAGCCCTCTTAAGAATTTTTCCATTGCTTTCTGATGAATTCTCACTCGTTGACCCTAGACCTAACTCAATAATCAAGGCCTCTCTGATATTTTGATCAGTAACATGTTGAACCTTTGACTGTACTCACTGTCTTCCCAAGTGAGATGCTGTGTGCCCATAAGAAAGTGAGGTTTTTTGTTTTTTTTAATCCTCACCCGAGGACATTTTTTGTACAGATAGAGTGGGAGGGAGAGAGAGGAGGAGAGAGAGAGAGAGAAACATCAATGTGAAAGGGACACATCGAGTGGCTGCCACCCGCACGACCAACCAGGGCCGGGGACAAACTGCAACCGAGGTACGTGCCCTTAGCGGGAACCGAACCTGGGTCTCTCCGGACCACAGGCCGACGCTCTAACCGCTGAGCCAAACTGGCCAGGGCAGAAAGTGAGGTTTTACTTTATCTTACATGGAATTTCCTTACATGTGGTATTTTCTCACATTTCATTTTGAACCTCAACATATATGCACAAGACATTTTAGCTTGAGACAAACTTAGTCATTGCTGTTGCTTTATTGCCTAAAGTGGTTGGTTACCTGATTGACATAGAGAAAGGCAAAGAGGTTTAACATAGGTTTCTAATTATTTTTGGTGCTCACAATTCCAAATGTTGGGACACTATTGTAAACAAGCCTTTTAAGATGTCTATAACAATAATTTGTAGGAGTCATAAATAGATACCTATGGAATAGACCGAAAACCATAGCAAAGAGGATGTTATGAAAATGGGTACTTGTGACTGAGAATTAAAGTTCCAGTTTGAGCTGTAAAATTAATTCAAAATGTAAAAAGTCAAGAAACTTAGCTAAACCAACGTGAAAATGATACACTCAGGAAAAACATCAGATGGAACGGAAGATGACTCTACTTGGACAAAATTGCATGTTGAAATGGAAGAGTTTGAATTAAATTATTGTACTAGCCATGAAAGTGGAAAACCAACTATGTATTTAAATTAATATATAATTTCATAAATGCTATTTTAAAATCAGTATAAATACACATAAATATACTGAATATTATAAATACAAAGTTGATTGTTTTATTTACAGTATCATAAGTTTGCACAGTTTTACCAAAAAATAAACTTCTTGTGGACTTTTCATTTATAAAATGGAAGCCTCCTCATGTTTCTAGCTCCCTCATTTGTGTTATAATAGGGCTGTGTTCCCTGGTAAGTCCGCACTGGCACTGTATTTCCATACTCTGCACCTGCCTTGTACCTCAATGCTTAAGACATGTTTGCTGCTCTGTTGAATGCAAAAAAAAGGCGCCATTCTGTCGACCCTAGTGGTTATAAATTTGTAAGCTCATATGCCCTGTGTTTTTGTGTTTTAGGTAGGTGGGTTCCATGACAAAAGTCAGGCCTTCCGTAAAACACCAGTTCCAGTTATGATGCTCTAAGTTACGACAAGTCTCAACATTTGTGTCTATGGATCTGCTCTGACTCTTAGAGCCGCTTATGGGGGAAGGTGAGTTGCTGTAAAATATCTTTTGTTTGCTCATTTGTTTGTTTACCAAGCATATATGTAACAAAGTCAAACTCACCTTTGAAAATGAAGTTTGTTCCATGTGGTCCAATCTGCATTTCACTCTCTTTAGTCCATGACAGGGTGTCAACTGGGGAGCAAGGCCAGGGAGAGAAGCAGACCATGAAAGGGAATGTTTGATATAGAAAGGCAGTTGATGCAATGATAATGGGGGAGGGAACCTCTTGCCTTGTTGGCTCTTAAGAAGTCACATTGTGTTGAGTTGGCGTTTGAAGAAGCTGGTCTGCGTTTGCAGGAGCAGGTCGACACTGAGGCAGAAATGGTTCTCCATGGTTCTTTCCTTTAAATTTTTGAAGAGCATGGGAACCCTTAGAACTATTTTCCCCTAAGTGTTCCCTGTTTTTACCCCTGTAGATCTTCATCCTGCTATTTTGTAAAGAGTGCTGGGTGGGTAATCTGAAGAGCTGGGTCTGTTGTCAGCTTCTTTACTGGTTCCCTGTGAGGGAGCACCAGCCGCGAGCATGATCCCGTGCTAAGCTGGCCTGGTCCTGCTGGCAGTCCTGCTGTGTGTGCAAGAGTGAAACAGTATATGTGTGGGTACAGGACCATTTGTGCAGGCAAGTGTGTGTATGGGTATAGAAATGTGTGGAGGGGCATGTGTGTACAAGTGTAAAAACATGTATGCATGAGTGTAGGAGCTTGTGAACATGTGTACAGTATTGTATGTTCAATGGCATGTGTGCCATTGTGCATAAGAATGTGTACCGGAGCACATATGTATATGTATGAGTGCATGTTTTCAGGAGTGTATGTGCATTTATGTTCAGGTGTAGAAATGTATGTGCGTGTGTGCATGAATGTGGGTGTGCATGAGTGTGGGTTGTGTGGAGGAGCATGTGTGTCTCTATGCCAGTGTACATGTGTGCAGGAACATGTATTCTGCATGCTGCTTGCCATTTGTCCCGACACCCTAAGGTCCACATTCTCTCTGATGGACCTCAAGGTTCTGAGCCTGTAGGACTGACTTTCTCTGGCCTCAGTTTCTACCTGTAAATTGAGGCCTCAGAGGTTCTTTTTGCAGCTCACATGTCTTGATTCTCTCCATCCCAGTTCTAGATTATTCCTCCATATGTTTTACATTGTGAGGCACTGCCAAAGCCTTAAGAATACACTCGAGGATGCTTTTTTCACCTATAGGCACAACAGCGGCCACGAGGAATCTGCTTCAAGCTATTTTATGTATTAATCCAGATTCCCAACACAAACATTCAACATACCTCAAACATGAGTTAACATACCTCCCAGGTGCTTGTCAAAGAACATGTGCATCTTAAAAAGTCACAAGACTTAATAAGGACCCCCTGGTCAACTCTCTGAAGGTTCGCTGTTCCTCTCAGCACCAGCTTCCTTGCCCACCCCGTCCAGATGCTGTCTGTCTGGTTTTGGTGTTTTTTGAATTGCAGATCAGCATTTTTAATCCCGTGGTGCTTGACCCAATTCTGTAAGCCTGTGTCCTGTGCTGTTTTATCTTTGCTTTGTTTGTTCTTCTTTCCATGGAGGAAGGTTAAAACCATTTCAGCCTCCAGGTGTCTATGTCAGCTGCACATCAATGACTGGTCATAGCGGACTGCAAATCTGCTCTGGGTTTGAAGAGGAGCCGAAGGAAATGGCTCTTTTCACACCACTAGCATGTCCCAGGCTGTGGTCAAGAGCCAGGCTGGTTATGTAAACCAGAGCTGGGGCTGACAGTGTTCTTCAGGTACATGTGGAGGATAGGCTGGGAGCACCCCCAGGCCAGGAGCCGAAGGGGCTCCCTGCTGGGCCCTCTACCGCCTTTCTAGCTTGCCCACATCCATAAGACCTGCATTGCTTGTTGCCTGCCCTTGGCCTGGCCATATTTGCCAGGTACTCATGTGCTCCTTGTTGAACATATGAGCCTATGTATGCACAGGATATGGCTGCAGAAGTAATGAGTGGAATCCACTAAGACAGAAAACCCACAGATATGGAGGAGGTGACTAACTGCTTAGCCTGACTCATTCCAGTGAACACAAAGCCACTGAGCCCCTGACCTGGCCAACCCCCTAGAAGCATAGTGCTCACAGTGTGCTTCCTCTGTCCCTTCTTATTCCTCCCCTCCCCAACCCCACTGGCAAAATACCCTCTACCCTTGAAACCGCCTGCAGTCACATCCTCTGTTCTCTCCCTGGCCTTGACCCTTTCAGCAGCATTCAGCTTAGCGGTAGCTTGTCTGCCTCTGGTGCCGTGGATGCTACTGTCCCCCATTTTTCCTCAATCTCTGGACCATACCTCCTTATCTCCTCTCTGGTCCCTGCACCCTCAGCTCCTCCTCTTCAGCTGATGACCCTGGTCCTTCATGTCCCTTCTGCTTGCTGCTTCCTTTCCTCTCACCTCTTCAAAAGTTTGGCTCCTACCTTGCTCTCCCTCTCTGCTGCTACCACATATTAACATGTGGGCACACTCTTTGGTGGCACATCCACTTGTAGTAACCACCCATCTCTATCTCTTTGACAACTGTCACCTTGCTGTCACCACTTGTTCATCTTGCACCAGACCTGCCTTGACAAAGTTCACAGATCTGCCCCTGCCAGACCCAAAGGTCAGTGTTCAGTCCTCCCCCACATTCTCTCAGCGACACTTGATACTGTCGGACACCCATTGAGCAAGAGGGTGGGCCCTCGATGGCCTGAGCATTATGACTATGAGCAAGCCATGAGTGACTGTGCTGCTGTTTCTGGAGGAATAAGGACAGATCCTACGCGGAAAGCTGCTGGGAGGAGTGAGTTAGCCGACAGTGCCAGACATACAGAAGGGCCTGTCTTAATGTTCACTGTTAGCATTTTCCTCTTCTGCCTGGACAATGAATGTTGATGTCCCCAGGACTTGGCTTAGTCTGTCACCGGTCACTGATAACAGAGCCTGCTCTGGAATTGGGGGTGGGGTACAGGGAGTGCAGCTGGCTGAGCCAGTTTGTCACTGCATGACAGAGCTTCAAGCATGTGTATCCTTTAACCCAGAAATTATATCTATGAATATGTATTCCAAGGAAGTAAGAGAGGAACATGAAGAGGTATGCCCAAAGATTATTATTTAATCTTTAATTAAATAATTATTATTTAATCAAAGCATTGTTTAATGTAATAATTAAAAAACCTAGATACACAATTTCAGTAGATTGGTTATGTTCGTACACAAAAAATGGCATAAAATTTATGCATAAAATAGAATACTATGGGAATTTGATCACTATTATGTAGATTTAAATACATTGACATAGGAAAATATTTTATGTATAATGGTGAGAAAAACAGGATAATCATGGGTGGTTTGGTCCTATTTTTGTTAAAAATCTAGTAACACATACCTATTAGAGAAAAGCCTGAGTAGGTAGATTTTAAAAATATATCACTATCACTGGTGGTCTTTCTTGGTAATTAAAGGTTATTTTTGCATATATGCATTTTTCTATTGTTTTCTGTTATGAGCATCCAGTGCTTGTGTTATTTTATTAATTTATAAATTTTTATTGAATTTATTGGGATGACATTGGTTAATAAAATTATATACATTTCAGGTATATAATTCTATAATACATCATCTGTTTATTGTATTGAGTACTTGTGTTATTTAAAAATTTTTTTCCTGTAAAGAACAGTGAGGCTGACCTTGGTCAGTGATACCTACATGCCCTTCCCCTTTCTCTCTGTGTGCCTTTGCTGGTGTGAGAAAGCCACAGCGTAGTTTGTGGGCACGCATAGTGGCCAGCTCAGTGCCCCCCTGGCCAAACACATGCCCATCCTCACAGCCAGCAAGTCCACTCTGCCTCCATATTTATACGACTGCCTGATACGTGTTTTGTCATTTTTTCTGTGCCTGATTTCATATGAAATGAAGAGATATAGGTAATAACTAGTGAAAGGTAGAGTTGGAGGCCAACTTTCTCTTTTTTGGTGGCAGAAGTGCCCATCCTGATGGGTGGACCAGTGTGCATTCTCCATGTTCACTCCTGGGGTCCTGTCCACCCTTCCACCCCACACTGCACAGATCAGAGCCTGCACATCTAGGTGGCTCTGAAGGATGCACAGGGCTCATCCATTGCTGAACTTCTGTGTGCAGCTTGCCTTTAGGACTAGACCTGTAAGTTCTAGATAACAGTGAAGAAAAAATGAGAAAGGTGAGGATTCGCTGTTGGTGTCATTTCAGGCCCCTCATCCTGGTGAGGAAGAGCCTCACCCTACAGTTCCAGGGCCAAGCCCTCTATGTATGAGTAGGACCGGCTTCATGTGAGGCCTATACACGGCAGACAGCTGACAGTGGCAGTGACAGCTCAAGTCTTAAGAGCTGAATTTTTATTAATATTGGGCCATGGGGTCCCCTCACCCACTCCTTCCTTTCTAAGAGCTTAGCTGCTACACTGGATGTCCTGCAGGCATTTGTGCGGTGGCCCCTGTTTGGGGGAAGGAGTCATTGAAGTGACAGCACATCCGTGCCAGGCGCACCCCTCCAACAGAACGAGGGGAGTTGGGCAAAAAGTAGGTCACATGTGCCTGGTCCCATGTCACGAGGTTTCCAACCTGAGGCCAATGGGATTTGTAGCCTCCTTTGGTTTAGAACAAAACATCACTCTAATTTTCTCCTCTAAACGGGGAGAGTGACCATCTGTCTGATAGCCACATCCACCCATTCCTGCCCGATTTTTCATAGCTGCTGTGTTCGGAGGTAAGGGGGTGCTTGGGGCCTGGCCAACACCAGCCTGGCAAGGAGGATGGACTCTATCCACACGGAGCCCAGGGTGAGGAGTGGGGTGGGTGTAGGTCATCAGGAAGTGTTGGGAGGTCCTACTGCAATGTTGCGGTGCTTTGCTTAGGGATGGGGAAGTGGACAGGGTGTCATAGTTATAGATAGTTCTAGACATTCAGATGAGGATATTCACAATGGGTTCTTTATTTCACGAATCTGGT